AAACTGTTGGGAAATAAATATATTTATCCTTGTTGACAACGCTCCCGTTGTGCCATATCCCATACCTTCACGAAGACTAACTGGCCCATTGAATTATTACTCCCACTATATATATATATATATATATATAGTATATATATATATATATATATATATATATATATATATATATATATATATACGTATACATATATGGTGCATGACGCTGACGCTGGTGGCAAAATTCATCCAAAAGTGTCTATATATTTGCAATCGCAATAAAATTTAAGGTGTTTGCAATAAGGATTGCAGATGGAGGGCAAAGGTACACTTTTTTGGACGGTGAGAGTCTGCGCGCGCGTGTGTGGCACGTGTGCGTGCGTGTATGTGTGCGCGCGAAGATATCGCTGTCGCGCTCTCATTACTTAGCAAAATGAAGGAAACACTTCGTCAGACAACTTTCAACTAATGTATCATGAAACCTAAACGCGTTCTATCAACAAATTCGATCGACACGCTACCCTTGCAAGTCTTGCTGTTAGCGTCACGCCGATTACTCTATTTCGGTCACTGGCAGCGTAAGCGGCATGGTAGTGGAAAAAACTTCATGAGGTCCCGAAGGTCAACTCTGGGTTAGCCAGTACCACACGTCTCACACCCATGTCGGGACTGTAAGGCCAGTGCCATCAGCCATACTTCGCGCCATTCTATTAGGCCGCGCGGACTTCAACTTGATGGCGCATTACCTAAAGTACTGCATTTTGGGCCAGTCGTCCCTTACGCCGCTGACGTGGGATGCTAACAATGCCCTTTTGTGTTTTATAAGACATCTAAGGCCTTCACTTCAATAAACGGAGTTGTATCGTAGGTATACCATGGTCGTACGTTCGCCGGCCATGTTACCAAAACGGCGACAATCAAGTGCTAGAGACGTCTAAAAACGAGAAAATCTCGCTTCACGATATCAAACACAACATACACATTATATTGACATGAGTATAGCGAACTGAAAACAAACACGACTGCATCGGAGGAATAGTACGTACAATTATTCTTGTTCCCCGTTTATTCTACAACATATATTCTTAGCAACATTTGGTACAAACAGGCAAAGGTAAGGCAGCTCAAAAAAGGGGCATCTGATTTCACAAAAAAACTTGCTTTTCTGGTGTGATAAAAAACTGAGTTGGTATTGCATCGCATACGCCCACGCTATCAGTGTCGTGTTGAGAAGAATCCTCCTCTTCAGCACCGCCGCTGCTGATCCGCAAGTCGTGGGATCAAATCCCTACTGGGGGGCTGCATTTCCAATGGATGTGAAAATGCTGTAGGCCCATGTGCTCAGATTTGCGTACGCGTTAAAGAACCCCATGTGGTCGAAATTTCCGGAGCCCTCCACTTTGGCATCTCTCATAATCATATGGTGGTTTCGGGATGGTAAACCCCACATATCAATCAATCGATCAATGAATCTTCTTCACGTGTAGGAGGACAATCGCTGCTGAAGTAGAAGTGCGGCCTTTTGCAGGCGTCGCTGTTGATTCATCATCGCAACGCCATGGAGTCGTTGTCTCCACACGCAGTAACATTAGCGTACTTCCAGCGTTCTTGTCACGTGCTTGAGATGCAGTGAAACTTTGCGGAACCCGTCGCTTCCGCGAAATTGGCAGTAGAGCCAGCCGGTTTCGTAGAGCTTTTCTGTTTTCTTGCTGCACTTCAGGTAGTATAGGCAGCCCGGTAAAATGGCAGACACAGCATCCGCAATGACCATCGGTTTTTCTTTTGTTCTTGCAACGGAAAGTTTTCTTTGTATTCGGCATATGTGCCTGCCCCAAGCCCGTGTTTCCTGCCTTCCCCCTCCCAGTATTCTTTTTTGCCATGGTATTCTTTTCGCCAAGAGCGAAAAGGGCTATTTCCCAATGGGCATTTAAACAGGGATAGACGTCCACTGGACAATCACTTCCGGATGTCTCCGTCGTCCGCCGGTCGTCCACAAATTGATAAATTGGCGTCCAGCGGACATCCGCAGGACTCTAAGGTGCATACTATTTGGCAATTCAGCGGGAGTCCTGCGGGTGTCCAGGGCGGATATGCGGGTGTTCAACGGACATATAGGCCCTTTTATTGTATTATTGTTCGCATTACCATTCTACACTATTTAAGAATTGAGTAAATCACAGACCATTAGTGGACATCTAGTGCACAATTCATTTTATTTATAATGCTCGATTGGTGCAGCTGGTGATAATGATAGAGGAGGTTTGGTGCAAACACAAGAACAAACAAAACACAAATGGGGTTTCTCTCGTCTCGTTCACTTCTATGTGGGAAGGAGACATGACAAACACTATTTGTGTTTTATTTGTTCCTGTGTTTGTGTTTGCACCGCACCTCTTCTACCTATATAACCAGCTACAGCAATCAAGAATTGTAAGTAACAATGAACGTCCAACTATATGTGTCCATGAAAGGTCGTTCATTTACCCAATGGATATTTGGTGGAGCTCGCGCACCACTTGCCATGAGAAGTTGCCAACTATAGTAAGACTGGCATCGTTCCGCACTTTGTCACATTTATTTATTAACACAAAAGAACATGTTTCTATGCATTTAAAACTGCCATAGTGCAACTGCCATTAATTGAAAGTCACGACTTATGTGATCACACGTTCTTTTTTGTTCAAAATTCGAGCTTTTGTGTATACACATAATAGTCCTCAAACAGATGCTTCATTCATAGGAACTGAAAACCAGAAGTCTGCCATTCTTATAAAACTGGTGATGTCTTTCAAGTGAACTGTATGGTTCCCCGAGGCAGCATGAGGATTAATCCTAGCTGTGTGTCTCCACGAAGGAACGATTTGGCCGCTGACTTCCTGTCTCATCATAGCGTCCGTCCTGTATGTATTTGAAATAAAACCATTCGGTATGTCTTTCAACTGCCATAATTTCGCCACCATGTTCACGTCTACACAAGTGTGTGAATTGTATGTGTCCTATGAGTAGCCTACCTTTATGCAGACTAAAAATTAGGTCCGTTGATAGTCTGTATGGTGCTGCGTAATAGAGGCTGTTATAAGTGGAATGCATATCAATAAGCATGTGAAACTGCAAATTAATTTACTGATTTTCATTTACACTGTACAGTTTAGAGTGGTTTAAAGACAATATTCAAACAGGTAATGTACATCAGCTGGTGGTTGAAGCCAAGTAATATAAAGAGATCAGCCCTAACCCCATGAAGCTTGAACTTATCATTACCACTATAAGGTTTTTTTTATTTTTTCGGCATTTTTTTGGTAATTGAGAGTATATTTATTTCTCAAATACACAAAACAAATGTTTTACGTAAGAAACTCATCCCGACAGTAATTTCTGACCACAAGTCTTTTTTCAGGGCATTGGAAACACTATGGAGAGTATACTTAGCTTTGCAAACCCAAATTAACCAACTGTTGTATGATACGTAAAGTATATCGCAATGACTTGTTGGTCTTTATGTGCGAATAACAAATGTAAGCAGCATTACAGAGTATAAAAGACACAACAATCATGACGTCAGAACCAACTCATGTGGCAATTATCAAATATTGCAATAAATTAGAAATTTGATATGATAGTAAATTGTGAATGTGAAGAACGCAATCAGTGCCCTAGCAGAGTTACCTGGTTGGCACGGAACTGTGGTACTTAGCGTTCATCATTCAAAGCAACACTGCAGCTCACAACCAGCAGTACACTTAATGTAACCCTTGACTGCTGAACTGAAAGCAGCGGAATAAAACCCCGGCTTTGGTGGCTGCAATTTTTATCAAAAAAGAAAGGCTTGAGACCCGTCTGCTTAGGCATGGGTACTCTTCCAAAGTGGTCAAAATTTCTGAAGTCCTTCACCACGGCATACCTGATAATCATGTATTGTGGTTTCGAACACGTGAAACCCAGCAAATATTACTCCTATTACATATCACGCAAAATCAAGCAAGCGAATATCACTATGTTGCTTAAAAATGTCACCATTCCCCCAATAATCCAGGGATTTAAGTAACAATATTCCGGAATGCCTTCTGTAAGTTATCTTTACAAATAAAACATTTTTAAGTATCATTGTAACATGTCACGCATTTTTAGGTATTGGCAATGTTTAGTATGATTGGGTATGACTGCAGGAAATCCCTTGATTGCACTATGGCATCAAATTTGAGAAGACAATGAACTAAGGTTACAAAAACATAATAAATAAAATATTCAGTGACTATTAGAATGAATGCAAAATCATTGATCTAAAATAGGCTTATCGCAATGAAAAAGATCAATTTCAAAAATGACTAATTGCACATGACACAAAAATAAAACATGGCATACAAGTCTTGATGGCACCTTACTGAGTGGATTTTCAAAATATATATATATATATATATATGCTGTAAAAAACTTAGGAAGCAGCGCTGACTCTTTCTGGTATGTGTTTTGTGCTTGCAATAAATTTCAGCCCTAACAATGGAAAACCGCATTTGTAGATAAAATATAAGTCCAGGGGACATGAAATAATACAATAATGCTGTCAGCTGCCTAATAAACAACGCATAACGAAATTATGGTGGCTACAAAAAGTGAGTATTTTTGCCTAGAAAAGTTTGTGGCAGTCGTGTTTCTACACAATCCTACTTGGAAAAATTCTTCGAGCTTGTCTATGCTCCGAGATATCTCACTCCAACTTCTAATTGTGCTTTCCGCGACTACATAGGCAAGACAGTGAGTATCAGCAAAATATACTGCCTGGTGGGACGAGCAGTTTCTGCTAGCTATCCAGCCGGTAGTAAAAGGGTAACCATTATAATGTTTGCCAATGGCTTCGACCCATGGTCCGATTATATGCGGCCCATCAAGGAGCAGTAGCTGTGTGCTAGTTCTCACTGTCCTCTATGCATATTGATGCAAGCCGCAAATAAAGTTTCTTGCAGGACATCTAAGCACAGGCATGCAGGAATTCTTTGTACCTATGTAGAAATGTGACTGTGTTAATTTTTTATTACATCAATGGGGGCCTCCTGCCGTCTTTATTAGGTTCAACATCAAATCTTATTCAATGACACGGCTGACGCTGATAACTATTGTTGCATCTTGTTTCCGCCTATACACATAGCTATCTGCAAGAGTAGATCTTACATGCATACTACAGAGCATTGAATTTTCAAAAGAAAAACAAAGGGATTAGTTTTGAGCACCCTGAACATGCGAGATAATTGAATACTGCAGCCACGTGGCTCTGTGTAGGTCCTTTTACATAGGAAACAGAAGCCATGCGCAGCTGCTGTACATTCAGTAGCCAACTTTTCCACGAGCCACCATTGATGACAGGCTTGTCCGGAATTCTTTCACACTCAGTTTGCACAAGGAGCATGCATTGGCTGTGATGGAAACAAAGAAAAAACAATTTAGTGGCATGAGTCGACTGGCAAAACTGATTTTCTTAGTCTATTTAAAATGATTAGCAACAATGTGTCTTAAACTAGCAGGATGTACACAAACTAAAGATGTTACAAGAAAAACTTTCTTGATGTTCTTGGCGACCACAGTTGCAACCTTGTAAAATAATATGCAATTTACACATCGCACATGTGTCAACACCATGCTTGAGTTGCCCTCGTGCATAGTGCATTGACATGCAAATTAAACGATACCCCAACACACACATATTGGTATGCACTTTCGTCAATTATCCATTGTAGTAACCTATAAATTAAAATATAAATTTAATTTCAAGTACAACTAATATAGCTTTCTGAAGGCTGCTCGCATTGGAACAATTATATCTATAGTATCAAAAATAAATGTCACTAAATTACTATTGTGTGCTGCTAAACTATCGTCATTATTTGCAATGATTCTGGTTGGCTGAAAAGGCAGTAACCCTCACATAAGCATCACAGGCTGTCTAATGAAAAAAAAAGTGAAAATACGTTTAGGAAGGTTTTAACACCAAGGTTGGGCGAGGCGCATAAAATATTTATTAAACTAAAACAAAATAACGAAATGCTAACATATATAGTGGAAACAAGTAGAGTAAAATCGATGGTGCTTGAACGCTTGGAATAATCACCAAATCCGCGCTCGCACAGTAAGGTAGTGTAATTAGGTCGCATTCAGCCATGAAATATCCATTCCAAAATGCAGTGCACGTTTAAATAATGGCTTAGAATGCACCGGTTGTGGCCGCATCCGGTAATCTATGTTGCAGGTGTATACCGCAAGCTCAAATTTTACTAAACGAGCTGCATGAACACCTAAGCGTAAGGCAACCTTTGCGAGCCCTATCTAAGAATATGTAAGACGCTGCACGCAAACACGCATCGAGTATTACGGTAGTTTATAAAAGACGCGTGCCAGGGCGGCTGCATGCACCGGCATACAATCGGCCACTCGCAAAAAAAAACGTCTCTGATAGTAGTCATAACGGATAACAATACTGTAGCTGTTTAAAATGGAACGTACAGCGTACCAAACTGCCGTAGACGCGTTCACTTCAATAGCGCACAATACATATGACGGGCTTACGCACCCTAGCCATGAGCAACGTCTACAGCTAACAAATGCCCCAGAATTATTAAACAAAAATAGTGGTCACTCGCGAGCAGGGTCCCCCTCCAACACCACTGCCGACAGAGGCGGGCGTCGCCCAAACTCAGCTAAAATCTGCCGCCGGATTTCCGCTTTGCGTGCAAGCTTCACACTTCATACAAAAGGGAAACTCGTCCGTACTTACGTTCGCACAACTATGCCTTTACGTTGATGAAATTTGCCGAAAAACGGGTTCGCCACGTACACAAATGCTCACTTATCACGCCCATGGTACGGAAAACGTGGTCAATGTGGTGGTAACAGAGTGCCGACAGCAGCAATGGCGTACATATGTGGTGAGTGCTCCACAATACGAAGCCATACGTCCTCGCTTGAGTGTAGCGCATTTCGTAATCAGCAACACTTGCAGAACACAAAGCATGAACACAGAACGCAAGCACACTTCACACACGAGAGAAATAAACTGGCACACAACTCTTCAAGAGGCGGTCGTCGGCTCAGCAGCGGTTAACACGCCCAATTAAGTCAAATGGTTATAGCTGCGCAGACGCACACCGCATTTGCGCATCTTAATTTCTTAATGCTGACTGAATAGCGTTGTTATGACATTGAAATATGTAAAAAAACAAGTAGATATAAACTATATAAATACGTGAAGCGTAGAATAGTTACATTTTTTAGGAAAAGAAATAAACGTAGAACTTTTAACGCGCGAAATTTCAAAAAAGGTACACAGTAAACACTCTTGGAAACAAGAAAACAAACAACAGCGGTAATAACCACCACATAAGATTATTATATTCTAAACAAAAACTATAGAACTCTTGAAGCAGACACGCGAGATTTTATTGCGATTGATATGGCTTTATATCAAATTAAACAGATACGAAATGCAAAGTATACAGTGAGGGAGGAGGTATATATATATATATATATATATACATATATATATATATATATATATATATATATATATATATATATATATATATATATGTACTAGACAGAGAACAAGAGACAACACCCGATACTGGGCCAGCTGTTCTTATTCTGACTTCGTCTTCCTCCTCCTCGCCTAGCATGCGCGTCTGTGCCAGAGTGCCAGTTTCGGTCTTAGTCGTCACAATATATATATATATATATACCTGCCGAAACGTTAGTAAAACTTGTGTTTTCGCACGTTTGTCGAGCTCTTTTCTACCGTATATATATATATATATATATATATATATATATATATATCGCAATAGGTCATCCTCGTTGCGTCCCAAGGGCGTCCGCTGGATAAACCAAGCAGATGTGAAAGTTTAATCCGACATTAGTATCCATCGGATGTGCCCTGAACACCTGCTTAGGACGTGGAAGTTTGGACTTAATTCGGATGTCCTAGGGAGTTTCAATGCCCCTTGAGTTAAAAAGCTGCCCTCCCCGAATTCCAGGAGGTGCCCCTCCCCTCCTGAAAAAAATTCTGGCTATGCGACTGTATTGTACGCTTCTTGCGGGAAAGGCTTCGCGTTCATGTGGTCAGTAGGCTGCAAGGCTCTGTCAGCTGTCGGAATAAACCCCTTACTGTTTGTAAACAGTGTGATGTCACTGTGGGCACCCAGTCCACCATACCCTCTCTCGGAGCAAGTGCTGGTTGGCAAAAAAGTTCCACCGGCGGCATCTTTCTGCATATCAGAGCTGTGTGTCCGCATTCCTTCGACAGAAATTTCTAGATTGCTATGTTCTAAAGTCACAGCTATTGGAAGAAGGGGGTCGTGGAAGGGTCACTGCTTATAGTGTGGAAATTTGCCTGTCGTAGATGTATGGATGGGGAAATGTTAGAGTACGGAGAGACGCCACTAGCACGCAGTTGGCTTAACCCACGCAGATGACAGTCATAAAAAAATTTAATTTTTTTCGAAAGCAAACGTTTTCAATGCACACGGTGACTGGCACTTTTACAAATATTTGCACACCATGGATGTAAACTTATTCAGTTTCCATCGTGGCATGTGCAATGCAGTATCAAATGAGGTACATTTAGGAGGTACACTGAGGAATTAGCGGCCGCATGCTTTTGAGCTGCTGTGCGTGACGTAACGGATAATTTCTCCCTCAATGAGCAAAAATCTGATCGGAGAGAATGAAAAAAAAACACTTAATGCCGCGCGATAGGCTCAGGTTAACATATCCTCGTGAAAACTAAAGTCAATAACCCAGTGAAAATTCATGTGATGTAAAACACGCCAACTTAATAATATATATTATTACCTGGCACAGTTATTTTGCGGCATTTGGCACTTACATTGTGTTTTTGTGCCTATGTTGCTCTTTTAGGGACGATACACAAACTTCTAAAGCGCATTGTCACTTCATAAGGATCGAGCTGTAAAAGTACAATGTGGATCTGAAAAGAAATCTCTGCTAATTCGATTGACATGTATCAGGTATCCGATAATACGATTTATAGCTTTGGTGAAGCGTATATGTAGATTAGGCAACGCTACAACGTGCTTATAGCCCATGTGTAGTCGTATATATCACCCGGAGATCATGCACTTTGATTGTTCTGCACGACGCGCATATGCTGAGTTGTACCCAATCGCAAATGTTCATGTCAAATTCATTTTTACCTTTATAATATGTCAGATCGCGAAGTCGCATCGACAACCGGTTACTGCAACCGGCCCACAACGAATACCAGTGTATTCGCTAACAGGACGCATCGCGTTATTCACACTGCACACACCACACACAGTATTCCCAGTTTCACCGTCCAAGGTGAACGAATATTGTGGATACCTTTCAACGCACAATACACGCCACAGTCAACGCTGCACATTTCCTAAGATGATGCCACTGTTTCTCGCACAATCCGCCAAGTGTGTTCACTTCTCCGAGATAAACAGCCAGTCAGCGCGGCAAATATTTCATCAGGCACTTTACCACACATCTAGTCATTCTCTGACACATACCACAGCTAATGTTGCCACTGTAAGATGAAGATTTAGCTTTCAAAAAGAAACAAAAACCTGCCCAGAGTTCCCAGCTACTGCACCTCACTGAGCTACCGGCGGGAGTGTTTTGCCAACCACTGCCTTGCATGGCGCCGGTGACGTCAGCGCTGTGACGTACTCTGCTACACGTCTATTGCCCGTCAACACTTATCCCAGCGCTCTGGTTCACGGAGAGCTTTCAAAAGCGAAGCAAGCTCCGTACAAGCTCGTTACCCCGACTTGCCATTCGTGACAAAACACCACATGCCCTATTCAAGGCGCCGCTAGCGACAGGGCCGCTGACGTGGACTCGAAGTCATATGTAGCGTCGAGTTATGCGTGCACTGAATCACAAAGCGCGAATCAGCAAAGCAAATGCGCTGGCAGACAACACAGGCTTAGGGCAAGGCGTTTCTAAATCACAAAATTTCATGCACGCAAAGCTGTCAGGAAGATGTTTTTTTTTTTCGCTTGAGCTACTGGCGCCCTTGAATAACTGTATAATGTACGTAGCAGAGTAGTGCATTTGTCTTCCAACGCCACTAGCCGCCATGCACAACGCAGAAGCTGGTGCGCAGGCCGCACCACTGAAAGTAGTTGCCGTTCATGTGAAATCTATGAAGTAACCGTAGTGCACTTCGAAGCTCGTTGGCTACAAACTGGTACTTTTATTTGTTTTGGATACATGTCCCTAAGCTTTTACAGCAAAGTATTTGCGTGGATCGCGCACCACTTTCAAGAAGCATACTAAAATAATGAACGCTGTGGGCCTAGTGGGGGTTCTGCCTGAATCTCGGAGCATCTATATTTTGTATTCGCGAGTTGTCGTTTATCTTCCATAACTGGCGCCATTTGACTATCTGGCCGTGGCGGTACATAATAATGGGAACTATACTACACCTTTGCGGTTTGCGTTAAAGGGCCAAATAGAAATTATTTTGGTTTCCCGAGGCGCAATCCCGAAAGCGGGTGTTTCTTTTTTTCGCCGGTGGTTGACATGCCAGTAACGTCGACTGGCGATAAGCGACACGCTTCGTCGATCGGCGACAGGCTCAAGCCAGTCGCCTGCAAAAATAGAGCACGGCTTCGCCACTTGACTATGGCTGCTAACCAGCCAAGAGGACAGAACTATGCACTACTCTGCTCCCGTAGGGATCATAGACAGTTACTCTATGGTGCCCCATACAGTAGCGCCATCTCAATCACACGACGAAAAGTACTCGTGGGTCAATGTCATCACCGAAGACAATCTGCTCGGGCTCATTCCTTACGCGGAGCGGTGAATGTCAGCACCTAATTCTTATGCCTTGGTGGTGGCGGACGTAATAGCAAACTATTCACTTGTCCCCAGCCTTTACGGAGTGGTGGGCGTGGCTAATCACTCAAGCACGCTATTCATCATTACTTTAGAGTACTCGCCACCACGCACTTTTGGTCACATATGGTCGTCCAGTCGAACTATGAATTTTATGGTGTACAATACATTCGTTGAAGAATGTGAGAATGATGTTTCGCTTGTTCAAGAAGTACACAACACGCCTTCAGAGTTTGATTTACCTGGTAAGAAACACGGCGGGGTACATACCAGTGACAATTTGCACTTTTTCGTTCCTTAGTAGCCTACCTTGGCGAATACTTAGTTTTCATTGAAAGACGCCGTTATGCTACATTTGTGGACCTCTGATCTGGATGCGGTCGAGAGTGCAGTAAAGGAAGACGACAGTGATATTGTTATTCTGCTACCAAAACATAATCAAAATTCAGATGACAAAGAAGAAGACAATGACAACTTAGTTACTCTCACTGTGAAAGATGTGGGGAGCGAATGTATGTCGGCTAATTAAAGGCTTTAGTCCTGCAACGGACTTCATGTTCCTTATTTCACTGACATGACCAAAGCACTCAGTTATCTAGGGCGTATTTACCTGCGCTTCGATTGACCACCTAATAAATATTCGTACGCAATATATCAGGTAAATGGCGAGTAAGTATAGGAGGGTAATACAATTCAACGGTTTTAATTAGGTCTCTTTTCCTCATACAAATATTCAGAAAGGAGAAACGCTGGAATGTCTCTATGCTTCTTGAATCGAGGTACCTAGCACCGAGCCTAAATGGACCGTAATGAAAAAGAATAATACTGCCCTAAGTGAACAAATATCTCTCTATATTTACATATGAGAAAAGTGCAACATTTGCCATGCTTTTTTTTTCATAAACTGGATCGAAATATAAGCAGTAACAAAAAAGGTACTGTCCTGAAGTTCAGCCAGAAGATTCTGGCGGTGA